GCAAAGAGAGAAAGTGATGATTAGTCCCAGCTGTGACGTGACAGAGGAGAGAGAGAAAGAAAGAGGGATGGAGAGCGAAAGAGAGCGAAATAGAGACGGGGACATTATGAAGGATGCGGTATACCTCTGGGCACCCAGGGTTAGAGGATGGTTGGGGCAGGGCACAAGGAGTGGGTGGAATGTGTATGTCTGCTGCCCTCAAAGGGTTCTGACCCCCCCCCCTTCCCCATCACATCCATCGTCCCACACACACTTCCACAGCTTTGATGAGGAGTGGGCTGCATCACTGTGTGTGTGTGTGTGTGTGTGTGTGTGTGTTGGGGGGTTGGAGACAGGAAGAGTGTGTAAGTGTGTCTGTTTCGCGTAAAGATCTGAGACTTCTGGGCACAGCGGAAGTGTGCCACTACAGCTAACCCCCTCAGCATTGACTCCATTACCACAGGGATGGGGAGACTCAGTGGAGAGAGAGAGAGAGAGAAAGAGAGGGGAGAGAGAATGGATGGGGGGATTGCGGAAGAGGGAGTGGGTACAGTACAGACCCTCATATCAAATGGGATAGGGCTACAGGGGCTCAGTCAAAGCTCAACAGGTTCTCACGCTCCACCTTCACTCAAACATGCAGGACAGATATACAACATTGGATTCAAATGGCTTCCATTTTCACTCAGACATAAAACAAATGCCCTTTTACTTGGAACGATTTTAAAAGCACTGGACAATTATTATCGTAACAATTTCATAACTATAAAAACATACTCAGCCCCCAAATAGAAAATACATGTAATATAGTAAGTAGTCAAACACACACATCCAAATTCCAAATTCTCAGAAAAAGTGGCAATATGACTAGGCTACACAGAATTTGCCTTCACCAGACTGCTTCGGGTGCTCTAAGACACATATTTATATTATTGGCCTACCAATAAAGATAATTTAAATTTTTTAAAAGCAAATAGTATTCATTTTATTACAATTAAATGTGTTTAAGTTTTACGAAAATGTTTGGGACCAAAAATGTCATCCAAACATTTGGATGCAATTTTTTAAAAGAAAGAGGAAAACGTTCAGAAATTGGACTAATCCTGATAAAATGTATTTTTGCTTGATGAAAAACGATTCCTTTAAGAATATTTTTCTACCAAAGAATTAGAGGCCAGACAGGGTAGCATATGGTAGGCCCGCCTATGCCTAATGAATAGGCTAATTCTTTCAAAATGGTCCTTGATTTCGTATCATTAAAGCGTTCAATGTCTTATATTAATCAAGTTTGAATTTCACCTATTGCTTCCAATTTTCCCTTTTCTTTCAAGTTTTTTAATCATTCAAATATGCACATTACAAATACATGACTTTGTAACGATTGCCTATTGATTAATTGTCTCGTCAGACACTGTCAGTTAACTTTTAGCAGCCTTCACAGGGGGTGAAGGCATCTAAAACTTTCTCGACATTTAGGCTATCCTAAACGAACATGTTAATTTCCTTTAAGCACTCTGCAAATGTTGGAAAAGAGAGATGTTACTTTAACAATTGCTCCATGAGTTATCGAAAGCGTCCGCGCAGGGGAGTTTGTTTTGTTAATTGCTGTCTTAATCCTAATTACAGTTTTGGGTGGAGCAGACTTGGGCGCGGAAACAAGGGGTAGGCTACTTTGTGTATGGAAACTGTGTAGACTACAGACTCACCTCGACAATGTCATAGTATACTCGCACTACAAAGAGAAACGATCCGGACCTAGGCCAGCAGCACCTGAGTTTGGAAATTGGGATAAGGATATCTTCCAGCGCTCCGCGGCAGGAGCTTCATATGCGCGGACAGGTAAAAGAGCTTGCACCCCGCTTCGCTCGCGTGGCTACAGTCACTGGCGTTCGATAAACAACATTGAATAGCCTACATTTATTTGCTACATTATTTAGAGTAGGCTAAAAGTTAGTCCTGAATTAAGGCCATTAGAGCAGCTGACATTATCACATTTTTGTCGCATTTCATTCACATTCTTCTACCTTAGGTTCTTGGCACGTTGTCATGTTGTGTATGTAGCCTATGGCTAGGCTATATAACCTATCGCCACAAGAAACATTGTATCCTCATTTAATGTTAGGCAGGCCACTTGCTTACTAGTAGGCCTACAGATAAGCTACTTCCAACAACACAGCCTAACAATCTATTCTTACAAATATTCACACTTGTTTAGCTAAATGTAATCCTTTTCTGAAACTCCTCTTCCCTTTTTTGTTGCAACTCTGAGTCGATATTAGCCTACTGATAAAAAACAACAAAAAACACTGAATATAGATAGTGTGGTCATTCTGTTAAGGATGCGATAAGGAATTGAATGAGTCTCATTGAATGACCCTGCTATGAATCGAAAGTGATTGCATAGCGTACATGACTGGAAGTGCGTCTTTCTTTTGCGTAGCCTACAGTTCAGTCCTTTTACATTCTTTAACCCGACAAAGAAGTCTGATAACAACCCTATCTTTTGACGAGTTGACCTGCTAGCCCCGTTTCGCTTCTTATCCGACAGTCTCATCTTGCACAGGTTATTCAATGTCCTGATTCGATCTTTACACCATGGCGTTTGCTAAACTGGCAAATGTGCCCGACCGGGTATTTGACCGTTTTTAACAGTTGAACACCCGCTGCGCAACGCTTTGCTTGCTGTCACGGGCACGGGGGTATGGTACACACTCGTCAAGGTCCATTAGCCTATATCTGCCCAGTGTAACACATACCACAACCTGACAACTACATAAACCATTGTTTTTAAGTACAGCTGTCGTGAGCGGTAGTTGGCCTACAATCGGACTTTCAACCACTAAACTATAGCAAAGGGCCTAGGCTCATATGTCCTATTGTTTTATGATTCGTTGCCTACTCTGCTCATAGGTGTATAAAACTTTGAAAAACATGGTGTGGTTTACATATGCCTATCAAGGCTATCATACAAATGTCAGTAATTCGAAATTTGTCCGATGACGCAGCCGGTTTGGAAGGTTGTTATCACAAAGTGCTGTGCTCATCATTGTGTGTGCAGTAGCCATATGACTTCCCTCTCAGTGCCGAAAAGAAGAGGCATGTGATTCTGGTTGTGACTAAGCGCACGTTTTGTGTAGTTTACGGGAAGGCACTATGAACCACTGTAAAGAACCTCAGTAAACCATTTACCTGCGGAAAAGGTCTGCGAGCTTAAATAGGTTTCTATGTTTAGTGGTTGAAAGTTTCATTTATAGTTTCTAGAGTTGAGTCCGTTTTGCCCAGGCTATCAGTCACACACATCCGTTTCTCTCTGTGCAAAACAAGAACATCTCAGTCATGTTACTTACACTATTATTGTCATTCTACACTGTATAGTTCAGTCTTTGAGCAAATGCAAAATGAAGATTTCATAAGTCTAATATTTGGATTTATGAGTTATGAAGCAAACATTGTAGTCTTTTGATTACAGGAAGTAATGAAGTCATTACATCATTTGATGTTTGAGATTTTATTTAACCTTTATTTAACTAGGCAAGTCAGTTAAGAACAAATTCTTATTTACAATGACGCCAAACCCGATCACGGCCGGTTGTGATACAGCCTGGAATCGAACCAGGGGGTCTGTAGTGACGCCTCAAGCACTGAGATGCAGTGCCTTAGACCGCTGCGCCACTCGGGAGATAGAGCTGGCCTGGCACTATCTAGAATCCAGTGGCTGCATGGCCTGAAACGTGTGTGATGGGCTAACTCTTTCCTTGCCTCATTGTCAGCAGTGTGTCAATGCCACTGCCCCCCACTTGCCTCTTAATGAAAATCAGTGGCATGTGTCAAATAGACTATGATTAGCTCTTCCTCTGGGTTAAGGAGGGTGACTGTCTGGTGGTGGTGTTGATCGTAACACACACACACGTGTGGACAGTCCCTCCAGATGGCTGAGGGGGGAGAGTGTGTAGCCGCGGTGGATTGGCAAGATTAGGAGAGCTACTGCAATGCCCCAACCCCACCCTGAGCTACGCTGTAGGGGGGCTCGACCTGACGCATGCCACGCGTCCACACACACACAGGTCTCTCAGCCCAAACAGGGGATAATGGCTAGCTCTAACCTCCCTACTTCCCCCTAATGGCCCCTCCATTGAGGGATTAACTCTTTCCAGAACAATACCCAAATCCACTGCGCCTCTGCCGCCTCCTCCGCACACACACACTTTTTGAGGAAAGTTCAAGCAGATACAAGCTTCATTTGGCACACACACACACAAAGGCCACAGGAAATGGTCAATAACAATCTTCTTGCTATGATCTTGTGAGAGGCATCCTGTAGAGCAGAATGAAAACATATTGTGACGGGGGAGAAAATCAGTGACACTCCAGATCAACTCTCAAGATAAGATCCACTACTGTTGTGGGGAAAGTTTTGGGAAGTTTGGTGTGTGTGTGTGTAAGAGAGAGTTTGAATATCAATGTGAATAACAGTCGGGGCATTTTGAATGAGAAATTGACAGTGTAACCAGTACTACTCTTCTTGTGACAACCAGAACATGAAAAGCAGGACTGTTAAACTGTATCTGCTATGAAGTCAATAAAGTTTGCTGCTTTTTGCCTCTTGTCGCAGAGGGAACCAGGAATTTGGAATGGGTGCTAATCTCACCTGTGGCTTAGCCACCCCCACCCATTCCACCCGCTCCGTCTTCACCTCTTCTCTTTCTTTTCATAATCCCTACTTCCTTCTGATGTGTTGGCACCACAATTCTGCTCAGCTCTGTGTGTGTGTGTGTGTTATATACTCTTAGCCCTGATAGGAGCCCTCTGTAAAACTAACAGAGACATGCCCTTCTTTGTACGGCCCTCTCCCGCCCTCTTTTCCTTCTTCCTCCTCTCCTCCAGGCATGTAGGCCACATTAAATACCCTCCTCGGCCTGCGCATAAACAAAAAGAGCCATTTGAATTTGACTTCAGAGCAGAGGGACCCCTCCCTCCCCCCCAGCCTCAGGCCTGCCTGCGCCCCCTCCTTCCTTTACAGTTTAAGCAGAGAGAGGGATGAGGAGAGGGAAAGGGATCAGGAGAGCCTAGTGTCCTGGGGGTGGGGGGGTTGTCTGTGTCTGGGCCCAGATTGTTCCCAGCCAGTAAGTGGGTCGGGATGGACCACATGTGACTTTCAAAGGGGAAAATTAGTTATTTTCGCTCTCGTTTTTTTAGTTGAAATCTTAACTTGTTTTTCTGGAGGGAGGGAGTTGTTGGTTGCTACAGAGCATGAACATGTAGACCAGCTGGGGTGCAGATCGTGTGTGTTGGGGGCCGGTGGGTCGTCTGTTGGCAGGAAGGAGTAGGCAGCGGGTGATGTGGTCAACTCTCTGTCACCATGGGGACGGGGGGACGGGGGGGGGGGGGAGAAAGAGAGGAGGAGGAGGAAGAGAGGGGGAAGATTAAAGACCTGGTTCTGTCTTTCTTGCCCTCCTCCCCTGCCTCATGTTTTATTTTCTTAATTATCATTCTTCATTAGCCCTCGCTCCACTCCGCCCCGCTCAAGACTGATGTCAATCAAGAGGGAGGGAGGGAGGAGTAGGGGATTTCCAGTTGAATTCCAGGACATGGTTGCTTGCTTTGAGTGGGCTTTGCTATGGGGATCTGATATACAGACCACGGACAGAGAGAAAGCGGGATAGATGGAGAGACAGTGTATAGTGTTGTATTTAACCAGGGTCAGCAAGCCCTTGTTCTTTTATGCCTCAGTTTATTACCAGAGGCAGAGAGAAAGGGAGTGTGTTGGGGAGACTGATCCATGAGGTCAGTTCAGTGTCGCCCTCTAGAGGGGGGGTGTGTGTGTAAGAGGAACGTCCGTCTGTGCTGGGTAAACAGCAGAGGGGCATTGAGTCACTGTCACAGGATGTCCTCCTTCCCCAGTAAGATGCACCCCCCCCCCCCCCCCCCAACACACATATATATATATATGGGGGGGGTTGTTGATATATACTGCCACACAAGCACCAACCCATGTTGAGGGAATATGTTTTTGAGACTGATTTGGAACTGCCAACCTTTTCTAATTTATTGAAGTTTATTGAAGACTGCAAGAGAATAATGTTTGAATTTATGTAACAGTGTGTGACGGTACTTTTATGTGCCAATTAATATTGCTGTTTTTGTGGAGCAGCAAGAGCTCATGCATCAGGTGAAAGCGCCTGCTGTTTCCAAAGAGCATTGTGTGTGTCTGCCACTGCTACCCTGAATGAGCTGTGGGCGATCATGTTCCGCATGGTGGTGGGCGGTCCTTGGAGAGGGGGAGTGTAGAGAGGGAGAGAATGAGGGAGGGACCACTGACTGAATCAACAGCTCACTCGCATGTCAAGGGGCAGTCAGTTAAACAGAAGGCACTCACTGGAGCAGACACACTCGCTCACACACACAGCACTCACACTCTGGAGTAGCGCTTGGATCGGAGGGGGAGAGGGTGAACTGCACCTGTCCCACACACACACGCACACACATAAACACACTCGCCCAGGGGATAGATCAGTCGGCCCTATGTGTGGCTGGGACCAAAGCTTCTCGGTGAGTACGCTACTGAACCTTAGTCAATGGAGAAACAGAGACTTGTAGATCTTTTTTTATTTCCTAAATGGTATTATTAGTTTTGAGAATTTTAATTTAAAGTTTTGTGTATTAAATTGGTTTTGCTTGTTGTAATAAGAATCAAACAAAGACTTATCTAAATTAATCCAGTGGCAACAAATATGAAGGTTTATTTTATGACTTATTTATGTAAGTCATAAACGTTTTCTCCTTGTTTGTCTGGCCACTCCATTATGCAATGAGTTTGTTTAACTTTATTTAAATGCAATCATTTTGATTATTGAGATTGTATTTAAATTATAAATTGTTAAAAGCTTATTGCAGTTTTGTGTCCTTCAGTGGAATTGTTTTAATTATTAAAATGCTAAAATTGTCATTGGTCATAGCTTGCTTAAATTTAAACGTGTATTTTCAAAGTCTGTTTTTAAACTATATCAGTAGTGTTTATCGAATATTTGAACAGAAGTGTGTGTGTGTGTGTGTGTGTGTGTGAGAGAGAGTTGAATAAATCAGTTGCTTTGGCCAGGTTCTCAGTTTCAGTATTACTTTTGCCCAGCTGTTATAGAAATACTCCTTTATTATCAGGAACAGCTTTTGACTAGTGTTTGGTATTATATTTATCTATATATTTAAATCCCTTTTTAAAAGATTCATGAAATCAATGTCCAATAAATAATATCACAATATTAATAAATATTAAATAGTTTGAAATTATATACTCTACATTGAAACGGAATATCCTAGTTTGTTGTATTATAATTTCATGTATGTAATTATTTGGGGTATTGTTTGTAGTACAATTTGTTTTAAAGTAATGTTGGAAAAGCATTTGAGAATGATTTGTTGTTCTGTTACTCTTCTGGAAGTTCATTAATTACACTAGTCTCCTAGGAACCTGTTTTGTTGGCTTGAGTGAATTTTGTTGAGTATAGGGTCATGTTTAATTTGGTCAAGGTTTGGGGAATTTTGTCAAGCTTTTAGTTGTGGTTTAGTTTTGGAAATTGTTGGAGGGTTGAGTAGATTTCTGTATGGGTTGGAGTTATGGTAAATTTTTCCTGAATTATATGTGAGCGAGTGACGGCGTATAAGGTTGCACTTCAGTCTCTCATCGGCCTTGAAATTTGACAATCTTTGTGGCGTATGATAATTTATTCTACTGACACTGTTCTTTGCGTGGGACAAGGATGTGTGTGTGTGTGTGTGTGGTCTTGGGTGGGGAGCGTTTGAAGTTTGTTTGTGCTGCTGTGGCCCCCCAAATGGAAAAGTTTGGCACTCCCTCCCCACTGTCCCACACACACACTTGGGGATGATTTGCCGGTTCCGCTGCTTCCAATTTTAACTCCATTCAGACGCAGACAGGACTTCCTTCCTCCGCCTTCCCTTGTTTGTGACTCTTTTTCCACCCTGGGGAGAGAGAGAGAGAGAGGGAGAGGGACGGTGAGAGAGCATAAGGGAGAGGGCGATAAAGAAAGAAACAGGAGGATTAAGAGACTGATGTTGACAGTTTGACAAGGATGGAGACTGAAGAAGGGAAGGCTGGAGAGTTGGACGGAGAGGGAGAAGGGTCCAGAGGGAATGAAGAGAGTGAGGGAGGGTAGAGAGACCGAGGCGAGGGGTAGCGTGGCTAGCCCTGACCTTATGCCAGCTTACATAGCCCACGGAATGGACTCGCATCTTCGCTGCCATTGGTCAGTCCGTCTCAGCCTATCTGCACAGTCATTGGTCAATCTGTCTTGCCCTGAGACACTAGCCGGATCAGCATACAGTATATAACACACACATACTCTTGGGTCACAACTCATCTGTAATAAAAAAAAAAATGAATAGACTTTTCCCTCTGGATTCAATAAGTGTATTTTTATTTATTTCATTTAACTTATTTGAATAGAGTTGATGAAAGTTTCCCTCTGTTTTAAGTATAGAGTAGTGGGGATCGGACTGTGTCCTTGGCTAGAGGCTAGTGGGGTTGGTCGACAGTGGCTCTTGTTCCCACAGAGAGCGCACAGACACAGTCTGCTTAGTCAGCCAGTCTCAAAGGAATTCGCCACTCACTGACTCATACTTGATAATAATGCTGCCTCTCTCTTTTTTTTCTCCCCCTTGTCTTTCTTTGTTGTCTTTATCTCATCTCCCCCCTTCTCAATTTTTTCCTTGTCTTTGTCTGTTTCTCTTGATTTTATTTCTCACTCGCGCTCTCTTTCTCCCTTGTATCGGTTTCCTTTTCTCTCTCTCAGGCTACCTCTCATAGCTCAGCCATGTTGACTACTGAGGGGGCCCACACCGTAGAGCACAACGACGTCAAAATGGACTCAGAACCCCATAGGGACACGGAAACCCAGATGGACACGGGATCCAAAATGGCCACCGACACAGACTCTAAGATGGAGGTGGACATAATGAAGTGGACGGAGGCAGAGTTTGAGGAGAAGTGTACCTACATCGTCAAGGATACGCCCCAGGAGGCGGGGACAGAGAGCGAGGGGTTAACGAGAGCAGAGGCCTCGCTGCCCCGTAACCTGGCCTTTAAACAACTAGCTGATTCCAAAGAGGTAGGAGGACACACACACACACACATATATATATATATATATACAGACACACACACCATCTGTAAACCCATACAAACTCACGTGACTCAACCGTAGGTCATATATATAAAAGCAGGAGAAGTCTTAGCCAGGGAGGATTGTGGTGAGGAGTGTGTCTCGTTGTAAAAGATCACACACTGGAGCACGGCGACGACCTGTGTGTGTTGTAGGAGTGGTGTGTAAACCCTGTCTGGAGGGGAATTCACACACACACACACACACACACTCTTGAGGTGTGATGCAGGTTGCTACAGAGCCTCCGCAGTGAGAAATGAGCTCCCACCCATCCATGAAGAGTCATTAATCATACTTAGCCCTGCTGTTGATGGGAGCTTCACCAATACATCCTGATAAAACCATTTTCCCTACCTGTCTCTGTGTGTCTATCCCTCTGTTCTCCAACTTTGTCGCTCTGTCTCTTCTTTCCCCTAGAGGGCGCACTAGTCAGTCCCACACTAGACCAGACCCAGCTCTCCATACCTACCTACCTACCTACCTCTGTCCAAACATCAACCTCTTGAACTCAGACAACCCAAACTGATCCCCATTCAGTCTAACCGTTGAACCCTGTAGAATAGGTGTGAAGAGGGGTCATGAGATTAGGTGGGGAGCGTGTTGCGTTTTGTGGTTTTAACCTGATCAAGACCACATGATTTGGTTGCAATGAATAGATTTTCTCGTCATTGCTCATCTGTTTCTTATCACCCTGTGTGTGTGTGTGAGTGAGTGAGTGTTTCCCACCACGTTTGTTTACGACCTGATACGGTATCAGTCAATATTTATCACCTTCACAGAAGCAACCACTAAGATTGATAGAGAAAATCAGAAAGAGGAAAATGAGAGAGGATGTGGAAAGAGTATAGCATTACCAGTGATCAAAGGATATTGACATAGTCATTTAGGGAGTATTGTAAAGTCAGTTAATAAGTTATCTTCAAAACACCCCTAATCTTGAGACGTGGTCTGGCCCTGGGGTGGAAATGGGAAGGGGGATTTCCCAATCCTTTAGGGGGGGGGGGGGGGGGGGGTGTTTGTGTAGGATATGCATGAAGGGGATAAGGGTGTGTGTGTGTGCAAATGTAGACTGTGTAGGGGGTTGGGTGAATACATCTCAGTTATATCAAAGTTTATCGTGGTTAGGAGATTAGCTGAAAGTCTAGGTTTGATAATCCCTCTTTTTCAGACAGATGTGCTTCCTTTGCTTTTCTTCCTTCCTCCCTCTAGTTCAAGTTTTCTCGCTCTCTTTAATGTCAATTGTTTTGAAAGGAACAACAGCGATTTAATATCAGGTGTGGATATCTTTCTCCTTTAAGGTGAACGGTCTATTGAGATAATGAGTTATTTTGATGTGGTAGGGTGCGTTGTGTGGTTAGCAGAGTGGGTGTCATCAAGGGTGTCAGAGGGAGTGGCCCTGTGGTCAATTAGAAAGGAACAGAGACAAGGTGAGGCGAGAAGGGGGAGATGCTTTGTGGCATAACCTGGGTGAGATGGAGGAAATTGAACTCTGTCCCTCAGGGTGTCTAACTCTTCCTGTTCATGCTGGATAAAGTTTAGGTGTGTGTTTGCCTATGTTCACACACTTAAAACGCACACAGCATATGCGGCTTGAGGAAAAAGTGTATGACAGTCAAATTTCCAGCCTAGGCCACTGATTGTTCTAGTACAGAGTAGTAATTATACACATATACATACACACACACACAGAGAGGCAGCCTTGTTTGTTGATTTGATCATGATGATGGGTTCTTCCGGCCGTCTTCATGTGAAGTCTGTGACCTCCTGGCAGGATGTGATAACGTAAATCCTCTAACCACAGAACACACACACACTTCCACTCAGACACACACACTCCAACTAATGGTCTTTATCTCTGTCCTGTAGGTGATTGGAGTGGCCAGCAGAGAGTACATCCCCAAAGGAACACGCTTCGGCCCCCTGGTGGGTCAGAGCTACACTGCAGACAGCGTCCCCAAAGACACCAACAGGAAGTACTTCTGGAGGGTGAGTGGTTTTCCCTCCTGTCCACTAACATGTGTGCGCACACACACAGAGAACGAGCACTTCACTTTCAGTAAAAGACAGCCACAGAGGAAGAAAAACAACCATAGGTCATTTCCTGTTCCACTGACTGACTTAGTGACGTCATGGCCGGGGTCTCTGTGTTCTGAAGAAGTTTGTGTGTGTGGAGACAAAGGAGAAGGGGTTTTCTCTCGAATCATTCTGAGAGTGAGGCTCTCCACTGTGTGTGTGTGTGTGTGGTACATCCTGTGAGTATGCAGTTTTTATACGCATACTTGTCTCAGACACACACACACACACCCTCAACGCCTATTTCATCATGATAAATTTACTGGGTAAAGCCTGCTGTTCAATAGTGGTTGTCTGCTCTGTAAGCAGCTAGTACAGTATGAACTGTAGTGGAACAACTGAGGGGGAATATGATGTCACTTGTACACAGGAACAGTGCTACAGTGTGTCATTGTTCCTGGAAGTGACAGTATAGCACTCGTACCCCCCCCACATACACACAGGCACTCACACACTCACCTAGATTCAACAACATCCCAAAGCAATGTGTTCATTCATGTCTCTCGCTCAGGCAAGCCACAACAACACAGAGTTATAGACCTCACTCTCGCTCTCTCGATGATGTTGATGGCCACAATCAGATAGGAGAGAGAGAGTGGTCTGAGTGGAGAAAGGGGGAGAGATTCAGAATGAGTGTTGGTGACATTGTCGGCGTGACGTACTCTCTGACTCAACTCTTTTGGACATGTATAAGAGAGGAGAGGCTCCTACTCGTCTGTCTGTCTCTCCATCCCTCAGTCTGTATAACTGGCTATAACGTCTGGAGTGGAGTGTGGGGAGGGAGGTGTGAGATGGAGAGATTTAACGAGTCACATTAATGATATTACACAACACTGCCGAAAATATGATTTGTCAACATATTTAGTCTTTACTCTGTTTTTCTGGAGCTTTCTAACTTGCCATTGAGACTTCCTTGACCGTTAACCTTTGACCATTTCCTTACTCTCCGTCCCCTCAGATCTACTCGGAGGGCAACTTCCACCATTTTGTGGACGGCCTGGACGAGGAGCGTTCTAACTGGATGCGCTATGTCAACCCGGCCCACTCGGCAGGGGAGCAGAACTTGGCGGCGTGCCAGAATGGCATGAACATCTACTTCTACACGGTGAGAGCCATCTCCCCTGGCACCGAGCTGCTGGTGTGGTACTGCCCCGAGTTCGCCCACCGCCTCCACTACCCGCCCTCTGGAGAGCTCATGATGCAGAAACTTAGTAAGTCCTATCATATGAAACCTTATTACATAGATGTTATACCATAGTAATAACACTGTAAACTGGAAGTTATATAATGATAATCATATACTGTATGCAATGCTTTATTACATATTAATAACACTGTATCCTTGGAAGTATAGTGTACTATTGGTATTATGTTGATGAACTCCAGTTCTATACCTTTCTATGGTCGTCTTGAATGTGTGTGTGTGAGTGATTTTATTTAGCACCTACCTACTCAGTGTTGGTGTGTGCCGTGAGAGTGAATATATTTGTGAGAACCTGACAGTGTTTCTGAGGGGAGCCATGTCTCCTTCCTCTCTGAACATCCGCCTGTCATTAACACACGCACACAGAGGGCCTCGACCTTTGATCTCTGTCAGCGCCACTATTTTGTGTGTGTGGTCATTCTAGTCATAAATACAGTGAATCCTTTAAATGCAAATATGAATACGTGTGAGGGAGCAAAAAAAAAAGAGACTGAGACAGATTATAGATTGGGGTGGGGGGGGAGTGAGCGAGAGCGCCAGACAGACTGAGTTAGAAGGGGAGGGAGGGAGGAAGGTAGGTAGGGATGGGAGGAAGGAAGGAGCCACATTCTTCCTCCAGGTGTGTGGTAGGTAGTGACTCAGTTCCCAGAGAGATGCGCATCTCCTAGGGCAGAGAGACACAGGGGCCTGGGCCCCCTCATGGTACTGGCCCCTACTCTCTCTCTATGGCCCCTGTCATTAAACCACCCCACTACCGCAGGGCCCCCTGTTGACCTGGGAATTACATCATACTCACCTCTCTTTCTGTTTTTCTTCTCTCTGTCTCTCGGTCCGTCTCTCTCCCCTAACGCAGTCATAGTAGAACCAGACGTGTGTGTGTGTGTGTGTGTTTGGTTATGTGTGAGTCAGCAGAACTGGCTGGTCTGAAATGACTGAACTGGAGCTCTTCTCCCACTCGCTCTCCCTCTTTGTGTGACAGCTGTTTTCTTTCTCTGCGTGTGTGTGTGTGTGTAAGCATGTAACAATCAATGTACCTTCCTTAGAACAACGACAAGCTTTGCACAGACAAATGGCACCTATTAGCATTTTCTGTTCTAAATGTGTGTGCGTTCAAATACATACTATCCTACTCACAGCCTCTCCCTAAATGCACACACATATACCAGTAGAGGCATTTCATTCCAACACACACTCTCACTCTTTTTAAAATCTCAAACGTGTTTGTGTGTGATGTGCTGACGGCTCCTTGGCCCTTCTCCCTAATTTATTTGGCACTTTAAAAGTGGATGGAGAGAGGAAGAACAGCGTCTCCTCTATTGACTACTTGAACTTCCTGGTGGCGGGGCCGTGCTGACAGATTGATATCTCCAAGATGGCCGCCCTGTTTGTTTTCTGAAAGAAAAGAGGGGAAAGAGGAAGGCTGAGAGTGGTGATATCTGAGGGGGAGGACAGGGAGGAGGAGAGGGGGAGGCACTGATAACCTCTGTGTTTACACACTGCCGCTGTACTGGTGTGGGGTCACAGAGTGTGTGTGTGTTGGTTGAAAATCTGTTGAGTAATTCTGAGTTCTGGAAAGTTTGAAATGTATATACAGTGGGGAGAACAAGTATTTGATACACTGCCGATTTTGCAGGTTTTCCTACTTACAAAGCATGTAGAGGTCTGTCATTTTTAATCATAGGTACACTTCAACTGTGAGAGACGGAATCTAAAACAAAAATCCAGAAAATCACATTGTATGATTTTTAAGTAATTCATTTGCATTTTATTGCATGACATAAGTATTTGATACATCAGAAAAGCAGAACTTAATATTTTGTACAGAAAGGGATTTTGGCTCACTCCTCCATACAGACCTTCTCCAGATCCTTCAGGTTTCGGGGCTGTCGCTGGGCAATACGGACTTTCAGCTCCCTCCAAAGATTTTCTATTGGGTTCAGGTCTGGAGACTGGCTAGGCCACTCCAGGACCTTGAGATGCTTCTTACGGAGCCACTCCTTAGTTGCCCTGGCTGTGTGTTTCGGGTCGTTGTCATGCTGGAAGACCCAGCCACGACCCATCTTCAATGCTCTTACTGAGGGAAGGAGGTTGTTGGCCAAGATCTCACAATACATGGCCCCATCCATCCTCCCCTCAATACGGTGCAGTCGTCCTGTCCCCTTTGCAGAAAAGCATCCCCAAAGAATGATGTTTCCACCTCCATGCTTCACGGTTGGGATGGTGTTCTTGGGGTTGTACTCATCCTTCTTCTTCCTCCAAACACGGCGAGTGGAGTTTAGACCAAAAAGCTCTATTTTTGTCTCATCAGACCACATGACCTTCTCCCATTCCTCCTCTGGATCATCCAGATGGTCATTGGCAAACTTCAGACGGGCCTGGACACGCGCTGGCTTGAGTAGGGGGACGTGGCGTGCGCTGCAGGATTTTAATCCATGACGGCGTAGTGTGTTACTAATGGTTTTCTTTGAGACTGTGGTCCCAGCTCTCTTCAGGTCATTGACCAGGTCTTGCCGTGTAGTTCTGGGCTGATCCCTCACCTTCCTCATGATCATTGATGCCCCACGAGGTGAGATCTTGCATGGAGCCCCAGACCGAGGGTGATTGACCGTCATCTTGAACTTCTTCCATTTTCTAATAATTGCGCCAACAGTTGTTGCCTTCTCACCAAGCTGCTTGCCTATTGTCCTGTAGCCCATCCCAGCCTTGTGCAGGTCTACAATTTTATCCCTGATGTCCTTACACAGCTCTCTGGTCTTGGCCATTGTGGAGAGGTTAGAGTCTGTTTTGATTGTGTGTGGACAGGTGTCTTTTATACAGGTAACGAGTTCAAACAGGTGCAGTTAATACAGACACATCAGTGGACACACACACACACACACAGAGAGAAAGATTCGTGACCCTCTAGTAAAAGTTCAATGGGTAGTAAATGGATGGGATTATTGATGTCCACTCTAAAGCCCGACTTTGATGGAGGTTTAACAGGTGAGGATGTGCTAACCTACATGCAGAGGCTTTTAGCGTGTGTAGCCTGGAAGCGCTTGCAGTAATCCCATCTCTCATCATGTGGAGGTGACAGTAGGTGCGAGGGAGGAGGAAGCTCTCCCAGTTGACCTTTAACCTGGAAACAATAGCAAACAAGAAGGAATCCTGGGTGGTTGTTTTTACTTCTACCTAAAGAACTGATAAAAGTCCAAAGGTGTAGGATAGGAAAAGTGTGTTTTTGTGTTAATGGAACGTGATTGAAGGGTCCTTCTTTGGGTCGTGAGTGTGCATGCTGGAGAAGATGAGAGAACCTATCAAACAAAGGCCTCTTTGTCAGGAAGTGTCAGTGTGTGTGTGTGTGAGAGAGGGAGAGAGACAGGGGGAGAGGGCAGGTTGAGGCCAAACTTTGGATAGGAAACTTTCAATCAGCCCTGCCCCATTTGGATTTTATCTTGATTTTTATCTGCCCCTAGACCACCTCCCCTACAGACACACACACCCTGCCCAGAGGCAGCTGTCACGCCTCACTTCCTGTCTTTTAGCCCCCCATGATCGTTCGTCAAATCTGTCGCTCTAATTGGACCACAGGGTTACCGTGTTCCTAACCCCTCCTCCCCCCGCACACGCTCTACAGCTGAAAGACCATTATTTCTCCTAAGCTAAAGACATGTCTAGATAAGTTTTTCTTCCTGTGTGCACTTTAAAATGCTCCTGACACCAAGTCAAAGGGAAATGTGGTCTTCAGTCAGAGGGAGAAAAGTGTGTCTGACCTCTCTCTCTCTCTCTCTCTCTTTACAGAGCAGTCTCTGCTGGAAGCCAAGCAGCAGGCCAGTGAAGGAGCGTGTCAGCAGCAGCAGCGCCCCAGTCAAGAGAGAACACAGTGTCTCCTCCATCCTCAGGGGCCCCACCACCTCCAGCAAGAGGGAGCCCAGCCGGCCCCTGTACCCCCGCCCCCTCTACCCCCCACTCTGCCCCCACCCTCATCTAACAGAAGAGTTTCTGAGTCTGAAGACCAGCCCGATACAGTTTGGTTACCCAGCAATCAGATCACCAGGCAACCAATCGTCGGCGACCCCGAGTCCATCGGCGAGGAGCAGTCCGGAGAGTAGCCCCCACGGTAGCCCTGCAGCTCCCCAACCCACACGCCCATCCTCCTCATTCTACCCCCGAGGGTTGGGTCCTTTCCCAGGCTATTCTCCGCCAGCCGCCCCCCTTTCCTCGCCCTTCTACCCTCCCGGCCCCCACTACTCCCGCTACATGCTGCCTCACCACTACTCACTACCTGGGGGTGGGGTGCCCGCTGTCGGAGGCATGTTCCCAAGAATGTACCCTCTCTACAGCAGCCTGCTGCCACCCCACATGCCCCTGTTGCCTGGGGAGGCGGGGAGAAGGTTCTTACTGCCTGACTCCTCCCACCCCTCATTCTCCACCCACAGGGACTTCCTCCTCCCCGCCTCCACCAGTGCCTTCTCGGCCGCCACCTCCCTCAAGGACAAGGCCGGCCCCCACTACCCCCATCACCCCTACCCTGGCCATGCCCATCCTCACCCCCACGGGCACCCCCCCCCAACCAGTGGCTCCCCTACAGCGGGCACAGCGCCCCCTAGCGAGCGTGTGCCCACCAAGCCTACCTCAGCCCTGCTGGGCAGCGCCAGCGGCCGGCCAGAGGAGGAGGCCATCAACCTGAGCAAGATGAAGCGTGGTGGTGGTGGTGGTGGCTCTACAGGCTACAAGACACTGCCTTACCCACTCAAGAAGCAGAACGGCAAGATCAAGTATGAGTGTAACGTCTGCAGCAAGACCTTCGGCCAGCTGTCTAACCTCAAGGTGAGACTCGAGACATTCTGTTCGCGCCCTTCATTCCATGCATCCAGACTACTTTGTGTTCCCTTGCATTGAACCCAACTGACGTAGTGTTGTGTCCCTCCTGTGTGTAGGTGCACTTGCGTGTCCACAGCGGTGAGCGACCCTTCAAGTGTTCGACCTGCAGTAAGGGCTTCACCCAGCTGGCCCACTTGCAGAAACACTTTCTGGTGCACACTGGAGAGAAGCCCCATGAGTGCTCGGTAAAGACCACCACCAATGCTATGCTAGCTGCTTAGTCTGTTAAGCTAGCTAGCTAGCTGCTGCATACATAAGCAACGCTGAACTTCCTCCTCTAACCCTTCACTTGTCCTCTTTCCCCCAGGTGTGCCATAAGCGCTTCAGCAGCACCAGCAACTTAAAGACCCACCTGCGCCTCCACTCGGGTGAGAAGCCCTACTCGTGCAAGCTCTGCCCTGCCAAGTTCACCCAGTTCGTCCACCTAAAGCTGCACAAGCGCCTTCACTCCCGCGAGCGGCCACACAAGTGCCCCCACTGCCACCGCCACTACATCCACCTGTGCAGCCTGCGGCTACACCTCAAGGGCTACTGCCTGGTTGCGGTCACCTCCTCAGGTGGCCCCACCCCCAGCCCCTCCACCCAGGAAGAGCTCCAGCGCATCAACGAGGAGATTGAGCGCTTCGACATGAGCGACCACGCTGAGAGGCTGGACCAGCTTCAGGGAGGGGTTGAGGTCGAGGCTGTCCTGGAGAAGCAGGTCCTGGGGATGCTGTGGAGGGAGATGGACCTCAAGACCTCCGGCTACCACCACCACAAGGGCGGCGCCAGCGAGCTCCAGTCTACAGGTTACAAACTGTACAATTCAGTCAATGAGACGTCGGTTATCAAACTGCGCCGAAGCAGTCCACTTCTTCCCTCCAACGTCACGATCAAGCAGGAGTCAGAGGAACTGGCTTGAGCTCACCTTTTTGAAGGATGTTAAGTCAGACTGTGTGGCTCTGAGAACTTGGTTGCCAGGAGCAACGAATGTAAATATCCTTTTGATTGGTTGTCGGCGATGAGGTTGTAGTGACTGGGGTTGTCAAACTTTCAGGGACTTCTGTACTCAGGGCTCCAAGAGACACTGTCCCCAGACTACTTAACTGTTTCACTGTGTCCTACACTTAAGACAAAAGACAATCATCCACCCTGGATTTCATATCATTATTATTAATATTATTTGTTGTCTCTTTTCAAATGTTATTTTTGTTATTGTATAACCTCCTTAATTTATTATGCAATTATTTTGTCTTCGAAAAGCAATATGTGGAAGGGATGTTTACAATGACCAGGTAATTCATTGTAATTTACTGTTTGTTTTCCTGGTTTTGATTTCACTCTGGGGCCATTTCTTTGTAGATACTTTCTCTCTCTGCCTCTATCCGTCCGATGAGTCTGACCTGTTGAGAAGCAGGGGCGCCCACTTTTCATTTATTTAATTTATTAAACAATATAGCAGGTAAGAAGGATCAAAGGTCGCATCTTTATTGTTGGTGAACACAAACTGTTGATTAGAAAGAAAAGGCTTTGCTTGACCTTCTGACCCTTCCAGCAAGCTTCCCCTATGTCCACGCTCGTCCTGAGCTCTACTTAATTTAAACAGCACAAAAAAGGGCATTTGTTTTGTATATTTTCAACAACGGTTACCTCAGTGTGTGTATGATTGTATGCCTGTGAGTAGGAGTGTGTTGAGTATGTGTGTCTGTACGTTCAGATGGAAGCTGAAGGCGAGTGCGACTCTATTTATTACTTTTGCTACTTGAAGAAGAATCCAAAATGAACTGGAGTGCAGCTCCACATGATCCAAAGGGCAGGAAAGTCTGCTCAAGATGTAGCATATAAAGACTGGGAGACTGGGAATCCTTCCCCCCAACAGTCCAAGGGAACTTCAAAACACTGTCCATACCAAAAGGAGACAAAGTAAACCTACTCAAATGGGATTTGTAGGATTCGAGGCTAGTAACCAAAGTTTACTTGGCTTTAGTTTCAAACGCACCAAAAAAAAGAGACTTTAAAGAATCGAAAAGAAGACCAAGAGAATACTGTTTGTCTGTGATGAAGTGTTAGCTCTCTAGCTGTGGCCTTTTTTTGTAGTTTTTGTTTTTTGGTTGAGAAAAATGTATCCCCTTCACGTTTTTAAATGGCCCAGACCAAAGCACCTCGGCCTTCTTATGCACTGGCCCCTCCCCTTTATGACTTAAGTGCCGGTGCTTGCTCCTACCACTCTTCGATCATATTGGACTGTTATAATGGCTTTAAGACTACATATGGTTTGTCTCCATAGCAACTGTGACCCCGGGCCGGTGACCTGACCTGGAAGCAGTTGCACATCAGTCCCCACCCCCTTCTCTTTCTTCCATCTCTCTTTTTTCTCTCTCCCTCTCTTCCTCCATCCCTGAAGTATGACCAAAGCATCCCCTTTCATCTTAATATTTAGCCCTAGAGGAGAAAAATGGCAAAAATACTGTCTCTGTTTACATACCGGTTTACATTGTTATTTATGTGCAAAATGTAAATTTATGATAAATGTCCACAGTTCTAATCTGACTCTTGTGAGTGTTTTTTTTTTATTTACCTCCTGTTTTGGGTATTCTGCTTTAGGAGAAGGAGCTAGCAGACATTAGGGTCTCCGTATTCTATGGCTTCCTGTAGATCAGTTTGCTTCCACCTCTCATGTAGCTCCAGATCAGTGCTCATGGAGGAAAGGACAGAAGGAGAGGTAACTAGTTAAAACTAATGAGACACCACTTTGCCTCTGACAATATGAGGCATCATCAAAGTGGTAAGCATATGCCTTTGGTTTAGATCAAGACACTGGAAGAAGTTCCAAGGGATGGAATGAATGGAGAATAGTGTATTTAGGGGATGCATAAACCTTTTATTGACATCAACACAAGATTTCTATGAATGTTCTAGCCATGCATGGTCGGTCAAACATGTAGTAAAGGGGACTGAAGGTTTATGTCTATTTCCGTGCCGTGCAAAGCTAAAAGACAAGGAAAAGGAAATAGGAGTACATTTGGAACACATCCCCCCGCCCCACGGCAATAGTAACTGTGGTCGGTATTTTATCCTCAGTTTATCCTGCACCATTTCCTCATGAGCAGACCCTCATTGAAAAAGTGAATAATTCAGTACAGACTGCAGGCTCAGTACAATCAAACCCACAGTGCAGTACACACCGTAGCATAACATACCTGTTTTCCTCATGGTCAAGTAAAGCAGCAGAATGGTTTTGAGCAGTGTAAAAATACTAGACATCCCCTTATTCTGGTTCCAGTTTCAGAGTAAGGCACGTACAGGTAACTGCCAAAATAAAGGAAAACACCAACAAAGTGCCTTAAGGGGTTGAGTGGACCTAAACCATAACAGATCTGCCAGAACCCTCATTTACTTGTTTCCTTTATTTTGGACAGTTGCCTGTACGTAGGCCTACAAGGCACAATCATGAACGAGCCCTATTATATCGTAAAAGTGAAGCTAGCTAGCACAGCTGATAAGCTATTCATGTTTCTGACCTAGCATTTATTTGGTTTATTTCAAGACTAGCTGGAATGTAGCCATTACCATTTGCCTATAAACTTGCTCCTGTTTGTGAATCTTCTACATTAGCAAACAAGAACAGTCATCTGAGTTTGTAGCGTAGCCTACGTGCTCTTTGTCAAACCGAAAACATCCTGTGCTCTCACCTTCTGACTCAACAGTTTTCGATTTAACGTAGCATGGGCTATTTGCTCTCTCTCCAACATCCTATTATTACTATCAGGGAAACTGAACAATCAGATGTTGACACAGCAAGTTCCACTGCCTCAGCTAGTATTAGCTAGCACGACTAAGGGATGGTACTTTTTTTGACTTAGTGGGCGTAAACAGATTTACCAGGCTTCCCTACACCTAACTGGGGAGCTCACCTCAACTGGTTGGTAATGTGAGTAACACGTTTATGGTGTTGTCGAACATTGTGAAATGAAATACTTTTTGATGGAGTCACCCTTGAGACACGCAAACATTGGTGCAATTCATGTTACTAAACGAACATTGGATGTAATCTCTTAAATTCAGTTGGCAACATGTTGGCCTCATAAAACAGTATGGCTCTGGACCTTACAACTCTTTCACTCTCACACACACACACACTGGCTGTGTGACAGAGGAGTACATATAGCTAAGCGATAGTTTACACACAACAGTGTCAGTTGTATTTAGCGTCTCCATCTGCGAGTTAATGTTCTCTCCACAAGACTCCTTGGTCATGTGTGTGTGTGTGTGTCTTAGTTTATATAATTGAAACCGTAGACAAAACAGACCCCCCCCCCCGACACACACACATACGCACACAATGAAATACCAATGTGTGAGTTTCGTTCCAGGCTGACGCCATCGATGAGGATGTTTCCAGAAAACCAACCCTAGCTTTGCTGTAAATATACTGAACGAGGACAACATTACGCAAGCAGAGGGGGGGGTCATCAAACTCAATGGGATGTGATTCAAAAGTGATACATCTCCCTCCACCTCATATAACTTCCCGAACCTGTCCCCTTTAGCCCATCTTGACAGGAAGTCGACCCCGTTTTAGGACAAAAAACAGAAACCAGATGAGGACCAGAAGAGGTGCGGTCGTAGTCACAGATAAGGACCAGAACACATGGTGACCGGGTCATATGGACCGCAGAGAAGGGAAGAAATGATGAGCTACAGTACAGTTGGTCACTTGAACACATGGACAGACCGCTGTGCAGCTAAAAGCATCTGAGAAACAAGGGGAACTGTGGTTGAATACAAAGGAGCAGCAAATTAAGCTCATCTGTCCCATTGAAGCTAGAGGCTGAACAAAGATGGCTGCAGCGATGTAGTGCTGACTCACCGCCATCATGCGTAGGTGGCATGCGTGTATCTGCGTATGTGTGCAAGCATGTGAGTGTGTGTCTGTGCGAGGTACAGATTTCTCACAGATACACCAGGCTTGAATAGATTTACTGAGTAACTTTTTGCTGAGATACCCAAAAAACTGAATATATATGAATTAATGTCTTTACATAATCATGAGAAAGGAATCCTCTTAGTCCCTTATGTGACTAGTGGCCCACAGATGTCCATAGTGTTGTCATCAACCCTATCCAGATGACACAGATGGAGTAAGGATGGGAAGGGGAGTGAGTTGTTCGGCCATTATAGCAATTCGTGTTCTGCTGTGTGAATTTACGAGCCACATGTGAAGCCCTCTGATTAGGAATTATGATTACCTTCCTTTGCTTCCTGCTACCAAACACCGCTCCTTTTGTCTCCCTCCCTCAGACACTGTATGTGACACACACACACACAAAGTCTCTCTCCATACCACATCATATGCACATATGCAAACAATATCCTCACTACTTCAATGAGAGAGGTTATGTATTATGTGTGACTGTAACTGTGTGTGAAGGGGGCTTATAGCTGGTGCCAAATATCAATGTGGGTGAGTGTAGTGTGAGTATGTGTGGGTTTTGTGAGAAGGGCCTAAAATTAACACACGCCACCTGCCAAATGCGGGTAGATTTTGGCATTGGTGAGTAAGATGTCTATTTCACCAGCCACGTTGGAGGGTGGTCAGGGCTCCACAGTGCGAGCACTTCACTCGCATTTGTGAATAAAAACAGTAAAGTATGATCACATTTATAGCTAAATAAATGCTGCAGTAGCTGTTTTCAAAGTATTTTCATAGCTGGTAAATTAATTGCACAAAGTCAAAGAACTACGAATCCTATAGACCAGGGTTTCCCAAAGTTGGTCCTGGGGCCCCCGCTGGGTGCATGTTTTCGTTTTTGCCCTAGCACCACAGCTGATTCAAATAATCAAAGCTTGATGATGAGTTGGTTATTTGAATCAGCTGTGTAGTGCTAGGGCAAAAACCAAAACGTGCACCCAGGGGGG